GGTTTGTACTAGAGAAGAAAGATCTTCCAGTATTTCTATGAGCAAGTAAGTCGACGAGTACTGTACAAGAGTCCCTCCGCTATTCGAAATAGTGAAAACAGATAAAAAGAACTAACTTATGAGACCAGTGTTAAATTATACGCAACTAAAACATGGAGAAAGCAATACGTAATTTCCTAACGTCAGTAAATTTTAAAGCGAAATATACAGCTCTAAACAAGTCGTAGAAAGCATCAAGCAGGTCAGAGTGGAGCTGGCGGACTGTCTAACTATGTCAGTTTGTTCTTTTTAATTGAGACAGAGCGTTAGCGGAGTCTCTTATATGTAGTTTACAATATTTCGTTCCATCTCAAAACTTCAACGATCGATTTTGATAGAACTTTGCCATTTTCCATTTATTGCGATCCAAAACTGTAATAAAAAATGGGGGTTCATGACTTCATTTTCGAGATCCAATGTCGTAGCATGAGCGCACGCAACAAAGAAATATCTCAGGAATCGTGCGACTCTGTCGGACGATTTCCCAACGTCTTCTACGAGCTTATAGAATTGAATTCGTTCTCAAAATCTGATGGGCCGATTTTGATAAAACTTTGTCATTTTCCATTGATTGTGATGAGGAGTTCAAAAATGTAGTCAGGGTCCATGTAAATTAAAAAAAGAGATGATTCCATGACTTTTCTTTCGTTATACAGGGAAATCAAAGTGACAACAACATCCATTGTTCCTGAATCGATTGAGTGCCCCTAACGGAATTTAAGAGAAAAAAAAAAAAAAACAGCATTGCGTGCGCCTAACGGAAAATAGATGCGTAAAAACAACAAAGCAATCGATGGTGATTGGTTTATTCTTGGATCTCCTCTCCGTACCTGGTCAATGCAGAATCGCCTCTCCCGTGGCCGGAAGGTACAGTACTGAACAAGTAGGATCGTGGAAAACAGGAGCAGAGAGAGTACTTGCCCAAGGCACCAATATGATCGGGCACCAAAATTTCAAAATTGTTACATAGGCGAACTAATAAATTCTCAAGAAACTGTCACACACAAAAATGAAAAATTATACTATTGATATAAAAATATAATATGTCTTATATTAATAAAAAGTTATTTTATAATTTTTAAATTTGTAACAGGCTAATGAAAGTCTTATTCAAAAGGCGCTATATTTAAGTTTGCCCCTAGTGCCAACAAGTCCAGCCACATATATAGGTACAGTAAAACCTCGATTATCCCCCCCCGATCAACCGACCCCTCGGTTAACCGACCGTCCTAGTCGGCAAATTTCAAATGTCCGCTAGTGATGTGGCGCTACAATATTTGGCTATGTCTTGGCTACTTTAATATTATTTTTACGTGTTTTAGCTGACAACACTCATTCGACCATGAAAGGGAGCCAGTATTTAAACGAAGCTTAATTTTCTAATTTTTAACGATACAATAGCGACGATTATTATTTTAAAAAATTTTTGTTAGGCTTAACATCGATGAAAATTCAATGCAAAATAGGTTAATAGCGATATACTAATTACATGGGATATAATAATATACTACACTAATAATGGATTTTTCCATACTTTTCGGTTATCCGACTTTTCAATTATCCGACCAACCCCAGTCCCCAATTAGGGCGGATAATCGAGGTTCTACTGTAATAAAAACGCAAGACTCTACGTATGTATTTTTATTACTACATATAAATAAACTACATTATTTTAATATTTAATGTAGTAATTTATTATATAAATTACTACATTATTTATATGTAGTAATAAAAATACATAGTAAGAAATACATAGTAAGAAAGTGTATATTTTTTTGGGGGGTCTCCAGAACGAATTAATTAAATTTCCACTAAAACCTATGGTAAATCGATAATCGGTTAACGAACAATTCGGATAGCAAACAAAGTCTTGGAACGGATTATGTTGGTTAACCGATCACCCACTGTATAATAAAATTGCAAATCTTACATTTATAGTCTGGTAAACAAGTAACAGAAATCTACTGTTCAAGAGTTTATTGGTCTTTGGTAAGTTTTTCAAAAATTGTAGAAAGTTTGGAAAACTTTTATTCAAATATTCTGTTTCACTTAAAACATATAACCAACTTATGAAAAAGCAGTAACATAGCATAAACATAGTCATGAGAAACATGCTCTAAAATGAAATTTGTGAATCCAAACTTTTTACATATGCAAGCGGTTGTGCATGTGTTATTAAAAGACAAGAGTTTATGGAGAGTAGTGGGCATATCCTTTGTGCAGTAGCTACCTACTACACAAAGTATTGGTGCAGATGTTTTCAGCTTCACTGAATTTGTGGAGTTGATCTCCTCTAGTCTCCTTAATATTAATTCAATGATAGGGATTTTGCTGCCCTTAGCAATGTTCCACCCAGGGTGGGCGGCACCCCCTTTGCCCCCTACACTGCCACTGCTTCCAGTATCACTGTTTATTCTCCAGAAAATTTGAACATAGATGAAGCAGGACTGACCTTTTATGCTCTCTCTTCAAAAATGAATTATGTTCTGGTAGCAAAAGAATGATTAATATTCTGTTAAGCACAAGTATGAATGGAGAATGTAAGAAAAACCCCTGGTAATTGAAAAGGCTGCCAAACGAAGATTTCAATAATATAGATTACAGATTTTGAAATTGGATAGAAATTAAATAGAAAGGCCTGGTTGGTGAGAAATTATGTAATGGAGCATCTGAACTGTTGCACCAAAATAGGAAAGTGCTTTGCTTTCTTGACAATGTTGCATCTCATGCAAACAGCCAGCTTGAAAATGTTGAGATTATATTTCTTCTACCGAATTTCACTTTCACACATTACTGTAACTATTGATAGTTCAAATTTTGTATCATAAATTGAGAAGAAAGGGGGAAAAAAAAATATTGTTCATTTATATCAAGTTCTTGAATATCAAGTACTGGTACTCATAAATAAAGATTACACTGCTTAGGACTGTATAATATATATTATACAGTTCTAATATATTAATAAAATATCTTAACACGTTAATTAATATAGATATATGTTTTTATAGATATAGTTTTTATAGATATGTTGTTATAGATAGATATAGATTAATGTTTTTAAAGAAATTTAATATTCTTAACATTTGAACCTTGTTAACTAAAATCAAGATAACTTGTTCATTTTCTTTTCCCCAATTGTTTAGCATAGGGATTTAAATGTTAAATCAAACTGGTTAACTTGAATGGAGTTTTGATAGTATTTTCATAAACTCTCCAAAATTTTAATTTAAAGAAAATAATTAACAATATTAACAATCTATTGAATAAACTAATCAGAAACTTTCTATAAAGCATATGAATTACACATCTCTAAAAATAAACATTGTGTCATGATGGCAAGTGGTGGTGGTGGCGGCAGCTTCCACACAGCATGTATGATCTAGATACAGTAATCCATTCAAGCTTGTCTTTTACTTTATTTGATTGCTGATGGATTTCTCTGACTAGCTGATGTAATAGACTTTTGATAAATTAATTTAAAAAATTGGTTATAGTCTGATTCAATGTAAAAATTTTAACCTTTGAGGCAAAATTTGAAAAATATAATAATCATAAAGAGTGGTATGTTTGTGATAAAAAGTAGAAAACAGATTTAATTCTAGGTACAATATATCCCAATTTTAAAAAATTACTAAATGAGAATAGACCAACCATTTGGGAAAGCTTTTCTCAGTAGTTTATAGAACCAGTCATATAAGTGTTTTTGAGTTTCTGGATAACATCAAGAGGCTTATGTTGACACCTTACGTAATAAGACTCATGGAAATATCATATGGCCACCTTATTATGGGTCACCAATAAACCAATGCACAAAATCTGATTTTTAGCCAAACTTCCATAAATTGAAACTTTTTAATTCAAAATCAAATTTTTTTCCCTGACTGATTCGAGTTAACTAAGTTCCACTGTAATAACTTTTCCTGATTATTATTAAAATATAAGTTTTCAAGCTATAGAAAGCTGAATTTCAAAAAAACAGAAAACCTATAAAACCATAGGCTTGTAATTTAATTTGATAATTTTTTTTATTGTAGGAAATATCTTCATGAAAATTTTACAAAATACTGCAAAGAAGATATGGATGGATTAGATTAACAAAAAATAATAAAATTCATCATTTCTGTATTAGAAAAGAAGAAGAAAATTGATATTCAAAATATAACTGGACATTTTTCACAATTGGGCCTACAGTATTCTTTAAAAGGAAAACTAAATAAATGTGAAGCTGTTATTAAAATATCCAAGTATATTCCTTATAAATGAAAATGAATGGTGGAATTGAGGAATACAAAATCTCAAAATAACTTACTCAAAACTGTTTTTAAAAACATGGAAATAAATGAAGAAAATAATTACAATGAAATATTAAATAATGTTAAAGGTAAAATAATTCATATAAATGGTCAATTTGGTTTTATTGAATTGTGTCAATTTGCTGGTACTACTGTATATTTCGACAAGGGCTCATTTGAAAATGGTGTTGAATTAAATCTTGATAAAGTAGCAAAAGTTGGTGATATCGTAACTGTTAAAGCAAAGAGAACTGAAGGCCACAAAGCTAAATATCGAGCAATCAAAGTATGGAAAGAGAAATCTTATCCTTTACATCATTGGGCATCAAGTTCTAGTATTACCTCTATATCTTCTCAAGAATCCAGGGGAACTGAAACCATTAAAGGTATTGGCCATATTGTCAAACTTTTTCCTACTTATGGCTATATTAGAAGTTTAAATAGAAAAAATAAGATATTTTTTCATAAAGATAAAGTAGTTAGTTCTAGTAGTGAAACCATAAATTTATTAAGTGATATTTTTAAAATTAATGATATTGTTCATTTTGATGCTATTCCATCAAGATTAAATACTACAGAAATCTTGCATGAAGCAACTAAAGTGTGGACAACAACAGTTGAAGATTATGTTAATGAAACAGAAAATGATTTTGCCAGTGAAAGCAGTACATCTACTCAAGATTGTGCAATAGTTTCTTTTGATGACGATGATGATGATGATGATCATATTTTCAATGAAACTGGAAAAATTTTTTTCTCTGAACAAGATAATTGTATTGCAAAAATAAAATTTGAAAATAAAGAAATTATTATTTCATCAGATGTTTCTTTTTATAATAATGAAGAATTAGATGATCTTGTATGGGCATTAGATGAAGGAGATGAAGTGCAATTTGATGCTGAATTTCAGGCTGACATGTGGAAAGCATTAATAGTTTGGAAAGGAAATAAGCCAGAGGAATTTATCAAACAAAAGAAATCAAAAAAATCATTTAAAGAATGTAATAATGTATTAGACAAAAGTAAGGTGTCTGACTATAATCTTCAGAAAATTAATTCATTTGCAATAAGGAATCCAAATAATCCAAAATCTACTTATGCCAGTAAATTAAGTAAGTTGGACAGTTTGTCAACTAATAAAACAAACACAAAGACAGAAAAGTATTCAAAAAGTAAAAACAGTTTTCGTAAAGTAGATCATGGTTGGAATGAAGACACATTTGATATACAGAATGAAGAATGGCCTGATTTAAATACTAAATCAAAACTGAATTATGATAAAAATAATAAGGAATGTAAGAAAACAGAAATAAACGATTTTATTAGTAATGATTTAAAATACAGTAACAAGTTAAACATGCCCAAAAACCAAACTGAAACATCAGTTTTTCTTGAGAACATAAGTGTTAATGATAAACAATACTACTGCTTTGATGATAATCTTGATGACAGTAATATTGAAATTTCAGAATGTGAAAAATCTGTTGTGAAAAAAATCCATATGAATGGTCAATTTGAAACTTTTCAAAATGAGGTTGGTAAAATAAAATATTTAACAAAAGAATATGGATTTTTAAATTGTGATAAATTTACAGAAGAAAAACCTTTCTACTGGGAAGATGCTTATTATGATGGATTGTGTATAAGTGAACATTTTTCTGGATTAAATGAAATATTTGAGGAATTTGAACAGTTACATTTCAATTACTTACGTTACACTGATGAAAATCAAAAAGTATGGGAAAGGATAACTTTAGTTTGGAAAGGAAATAAACCTGAGCATTTTACAGAAATTACACCAGAACAATTTTTAGAACTTATGGGTATATATAGTCCTACCAAAACTTATTCTGTAGAAACTGAAGATATAAATTCCATATCAAAATGTGCAACAAGTAGTAAAAATTCTAATCCGTACGAGAATAGTTTTGCAGCAAATACTGTTGATATAAGTAAGTATTACATTTTAATACTTTTTTAATTATTATTTTTTATTCTATAATTTTTCACCCATTTTTTGGTTTTGCAAAATATATGTGCTTCTTAGATTTGATGGAATCTTACATTTTCAGGCAAAACAATAATTAGAAGTTGTATCAGAAAAACAATAAAATGCCATGAAATAGAACTGTTGAACATTGTCTTGTATAACAGCACCTGTGTGTCACATGTCGACCTTCCAGGGATACTCATGTGCAGTGTGCACATCGTACCTGTATTGTGATGACTCTGTAATAACATTTATTGCTCTATAATAGTCCCTCTTCAATTAGACAATTTGGTAATTTAAACATTAGGTATATAACAATGTTTTTGTTTAAAATGTACAATTTTCTTATTTGCTTAAATATTTCTGCTTATATATTATATTTTGAAACATGGTGCCATACACAGTTTGACTTCACACTTTGGGCAGAAGTATGTGCTTTCTCTTCTAACTTCCTTTTCTTCTGCATCTTATTTGCAGCTGAACACTGCACATACTCTTGTTCGATTTTCCTTCTTTTCTATGGGATTACCTATGAAAAATCTCTGTCAAATGGAAAAAATAGATATATACAAAAGTAAAATGAGGAATCACTGTTTAAATGAAAAGGATGCAAATACATTACCAACAGCATGGAAATACAAAATAGAAAAATGTTTCAATCTATACTAATATTATAAAGAGGTAATGTTTGTATGTTAGTTTGTATGCAGCAGGTAATCTCCGAAACTACTCATTCGATTTCAAAAATTCCTTCACCAATATTTAGAATGGAACTTCAGGGTGGACATAGGCTATATATTATTCCGTTAAACATGGGGATGGACAGTTTTTTACGGTAAGCCTTACGGAAAAGGTTACCGTAAAGAACTCTGCTTCTATTTATACCATTTTAGATGCAGTTTTTTCCGTTTTTGATTGCGTTTTCATAGAGTACGTCAACAGAATGTACACTAAGAAGGGATTTTTCGATATTCCCCCCGTGGGGGAGAGAGANATCGCCCCCTTTCTCTTCTTATTAAATATTAGTTAAAAATTAATTTTTTTATACAAATAAATATTAATGTAAGTTAAATATTAAAAATACTAACTATAAAAGGTATTTGGGTAAACGCCCCAAGCTTTCAGAGTTTAGAGTAGGGTACCCTTATGAGCAGGCTGTCCTCCATAAAATGACTTGGTATTTAATTTTGCCGGAGTCGAGTTTTTTTTTTTACCGATTCCGCAGCCCTGATACTTACAGGTCTCTATATGGATCTGTGATTTTAGTTGTGATATCAAACTAAATTAAAATCGATATTAAATTAAAGCAGAATTTATTTTATTGAGTAAATTAAGCAAAATAATTTAACGAAATGTCGAAATACTCCATACGGCTATTTAACCACATTTATTGCTTGACTTCATATTATATAAGTATTATAGAAGACCGATATAAATGAAATAAACGGAGACTAAATTTTAAAACATTTTAATAATCCGTTCTTATTGTTTAATGCGTAAACTAACAATTTAATTATATTTAAATTTATACCGAAATTTTCTATTATGCCTACAGGCCTATACGAACTAGAGTCAACATTATATTCTTAACGCATCATAAATTGCCGTGGTAATTTTCTTTCTCGGTATTTAATTACTTAGATTACCGACAAATATTCTTACACAAATATTGCCAGTTTTTAAAAACAGAACCGACCTCTATCACTTCGAAAAAAATAATAGTTTTTGATCTACATTACTTGGTCGATACTTAAAACGAAACCGTCGAAACATAGTATGCGTAGGACACAAAGTAACGTAGCTTATTCCGTCGTTAATTAAGATTATTAATAGTTTTTAAAATAATCATTCAGATTGCACTAGCCGGTGTCTACGCCTGGCAATCCCTTTTGACGCATTACCAAAATTCCGAACCAGTTGTTTAATATTCTCTCTTTGCTTAATTTAACACGTAATAAATGTTAATCGGAAATTGAGCTATTTGAAATAAATTTTAAAATTCAACTTTTGTTCATGGAAAATAAAATAACTCGACTCCTTACTTCCCTCGATCCCAAAAAAAGCGAATTTTAAAGGAAAAAACATTGGGTTCCAAACAAAATAATGTATGTAGGCGAAGCATTTTTCAATTTTTTTAAATAAAAAGTATTCGACGTTGCCTTGACTTAATTGCTTTGAATGAGGGTTTGTTGTCGGGAGTGTCCAGATGCCTGCAAATTTAAAAAGTGACAAGGATCGTCTTTCACCGCTTAATTATTTCTGATGTCATTAATTACGGTCGTTTTTATATAACTAATTGAAGTCATGGCTAATTTGCCTCTTTTTCTGCGTCATGATAATATGGCATTTGCCTGTATTTACTTTAAATATATAGCCGTTAATTCAGAGATATCTAATACTTTTCTGTTTGGAAGTAGCATTTCTTTTTTTACAATATCTTAAATCTTAATTTTATAATATTTCAGCAGTAATTCGTATTATTTCACCAGAAATGTTTCTTTTCAAATTTTCATAAAAATTTAAGTAACAGCAACAGTAACAGCAAGATGTTAATTTAAGTATAATCACATCAAATATTTAATAACGTTGATGATAGAAAACAAAATAAAATGTGAAAGGAAGTAAATTCGATTAGATAATTCGACTTTCACGTAATTATTCTGCTTTTGAAAGGAATATCTTGTATAACAAGTATAATAAACCTCCCTGCAAAATTCCAGAAATTTTCGACAAAAAGCACAGGAGTTATTAAGCTTCAAACATAGTGAATAAAATAGTGCCACACACACTAACGTTCATATATACAGAAATTACCCCCAAATTTTTTTGCATTTTTCGACGTTTCAAGTTCTTAAGTTCGACGTGTCCTAAGTTAAATAATGTAAAAATCTTGGGTGGATGATTTTTTGATCGATTGTCATACTTTCCTTCAGTTATATATAACAGCCGGGAAAGTAAACACTAGGAACAAAGGATTACTGTACAGCAGTGGCGTGCCGTTACATTTCATGATAGGGAAGCTGTGTTTCTGAAAGAAGCCGACTTCCAGGAACAAACAGTTACTTGCGCGTCAGTGATAATCTAGGGTCCATTCGTATTCGTTTGTTCGATAAGCCAGTATAAACCGTAGACTTCTCTAAATGTATTTTTAATGTCACAATTACATTCCGAGTCGCTAGCCACGATATAAGGGCTGCAATTAAAAATAAAATAATAAAAACTTACTTGGTGAAATAAAATATGTGGTTGATAAACATACGTGGTACAAAATACTCTTCAATTGTACGAATATACTTTTAAAGAAAATTATAATTAAATATAGCTTTGTAAATAAACGTATATAAAAATAAAAAAATCTTCTTTACTTTTTAAATCTTAAAACAATCCACTTTAGTGTACATTCTGTTGACGTACCCTATTAAAACGCAATCAAAAAGCGCAAAAACCCGCATCTAAAATAGTATAAATAGAAGCAGAGTTCTTTATGGTAAGCCTTAATCCTGTCCATCTCCCCACAGTGGGAGAAATTTGGACACGTATATTATATAAAAACACGTGCGTATTCGAATGCAGCGTTGTGTCAAAATTTCAAAGGAATCGGTAGGAACAAACGAACGTTACATTTTTATTTATATAAATAGATAGAAGATGATCTGCTTTAGTTCATTTTCACAGAAAAGCATAATGCCTCACAGAAAAGCAAACTTAGGGCGTCGTACTCGTAGCGCCATCTGTTGGACAT